CAATTTCCATATTTGGTCATGACACCCATATTTAGACGTCTGACCTATATCGGAAAGATTGAGGAAGTTTCCAACATGGCAGTCAATTAGGATTTCGCTTGCACTTGTTACGTAAACTTGATAATTTAACGAAATATAAGGCGGAGTATAACTTACAATTATGTAGGAGATCAACATAAAAAGTTCATATTACAAACCTATTAATGGATACGGATCCTGTCAATTAATTCTAAAATCGCCTCCGTGTGATTCACACCAGGCTTGCCTAACTAAAATGGGATCAACCGGCCGGGGCAGATGAGACCGGGAATCATGTTAGAACTAGCCACTGTCCTTCTCTAGTTCCATATTGGTATTCTAACCTGAAGGCTTTTTTTACCTTCGCAGTATTATCATTTTGTTCTATTTTCATCATAAGATATGCTATTGCATTTTTATATCGCCTTCTCGCTAATTACAGCTCAGCCAGAAACGAAAATATGCTCCGATAGGCCTACATTTTATATGTCTGTTGGTGTGATTTGTGTTTTTCGTTTATTGAAGTATTACCATATAACAGGACTCTTTTATTTCAATATACACAAAAACAACAACACCTTCGGAATGATTTCAGACATATACTGCGGGAAAACACGAGTGATCTCCCTTACATTTAGACATGCGCACATTTTACTTTCGTTTTGTGTAGGCCTAGACATCATTCGCAACGCGAAGCGGAAAAGACGAAAATGCAGGCGAGTGTTGACTTAATGTTAGGCATGTTGTTTAAGCAGCATTGACAATGAACAATATACATACACTTCTGCAACGTTTACCTACTACTGATTCATAAATAAGGCTATGTATCCCGATTTCGGTGACTTGTGGCCAAGCATGCGGCCGAAGCCGCAGAGAATGGCGCATGTTGTCAGCGGCGATGACAAAAAGGAAGGTGCTTCTACGGTATGTATAGCAGTTATTATGCAAAAACAAACATAATAAACGGACGTTTTACTCTAGTGAATTACAGCGTCACGAGGAACGTCTTTCTCCAGACGTGTTGCAAAATTTTCGAACTGCTTAGTTGCAAACTGATTTCACTTAAGCGTTGTTTGTGAGGATATTTGGCCTTACATTTCTTCTCATTCAGTTAAAAAAAAACATGTTATAAACATTGTATTATTAGATTCATTGTGATGTTGGCTTTCATTGAAGTTTCAATTGTTATACTACTTGATGTTTTGGAAACTTAAACAAGTATAGTAGTTCTAAATATTATGAAATGACAGAAACATTAGGCCAAACAAATTACTTGTGTTTCTACTATCAGAAAAAAATAGGGTAGGTATGTATTAGCTAGGCATTTTATTGTTAATTTGAAAAATATCTTTACTGCGCTAATATAGAGCAGGAGTTCTGACTTTAACAGTGCATATAAAAACTTAAGGGTATTGTAGAACACAAATCTGAGATAAGTCTGGTTAACCACACTGGTGTCGAACACACCAATAAGTATAGTGTGTATAATATATCATAGTTTATACACATCATATTACTATTAGTGTGTCCAGTATCTGTGGGGTTAGCATAAACTCAATATTTGTTTTAAACTTTTAATTGGCCTTATATAATGATCATTTATAGGTCAGACAGGGTTTGGTTTCCAATTCGGAAACTAGACCTGTTAAAACAGTTATCATTTGTAATTTAGAGATTAAATATTTCTAAGCAGAAAAAAATGAACTATAAATATTTTTCAACCTTTTCTGAGTTGTACAATTTTAGAGTATCTTCTGTCTGAAATCTGAACATAACTTGTTTTATGATAAATGTGTAAAACAATTCCTCATACTGGGGTAAAGTTTTTCTATATATAGTCCCAAAAACTACAGATAAAATCCTTGAGCACGTACAAGATACAAAAATATATATTTTACGTCCATTTTGCAAAACATACAACATAAGCTACAAAGACAAAACATGAGTATAATAACAGAGACCAAAATATTACAACATGGAAAAATAAAATAAAAACATGTATGTACATGTAGTATACTGTAAGCTCAGAAAAAGAGTTTATCACTTGGAAAGCACTTAATAGGCACATTGAACACGGTAAGCACATCAGCACATGGTAATTTAAGCACATTTAGAACATTTGCATACAGCACATAAAAAACAAAACCATAACATGGAAAGCTTATTAGCACATAGTAGGCACATTTGCACATTGTAAGCAAAATAAAGGAGTGCAATGGACATCTCCATGTTTCCTGGTTAATTTCTTCTTTATGGAAACAACCAGGGGAGAGTGATGTTCTGCTTCATCTTTTGTATTAATGAAAACCGTGAATATCTAAGTGCGTGTGTTTAAACTAATTTTGTTTTGTTTTTACTGGTACCTTTTTATGTACACATGTTTTACCACCTAAGGAATTAGATGTCTTAAGCCCCCATATGATGTGCTGTTATAAGTTGAATTTAATGTACATTTTGTTTATATTTAGTTCTGCTACCAAAGAGATTGACTTATTGAAATGTTTTTGAAACATTTTAATGAACTCCTCAGCTTTAATGCCTTATTTCTCACTATACAAGCTCATATTGCTATGCCTCCTATTTGTTTGAATATCATCTCTAAACATTATTGCTGGTGCAGAAATTATATGGTAACTATGTTCTATTTTAGGGGGGGAAAGCAATCAATATTACAACAGACAGGGATGGTTATTGATGGGAGAAAGGAGGATGAGAAATAGGAACTGTACCAACTCTCTCATACCTTTGAGGACTTCATGAACTTTTTCAAAAGGCTGCAAGAACTATACCAACAGTGACATGACATTTTGAAATCTGTCAGTTACTTTATAGAGGAGGAACCTCTGACTAAATCATTTTCTCTCAGACACATGAAAGCCGAGTCCACAGATCCTTCCATCAGCGAATAGTTCAAATGTAGTTCAAATGCTTTCCTCGCAAACTTTTCCTTAATGGAGAAGTCAGTGATCTTTACTTGGAACAGATTGAATCTGTGAATATTGATGCTGAAAGCCTGATGAATGTGATTGAACAGCCCCTACTTGATGCTGAAACCCTGATGAATGTGATTGAACACCCACTACTGACTAAGGGCACAAATGTTGGAAACAACGTTTGTTTTGATCAATATAACACTATGGGTGGTGGGAGCAAATTGGAAAAAAAATTAAAAGTATGTTTTTAAAGATAGAAATACTGGTCATGGCTTCCTTTTAGTTTTTGTCCAATGAATTAAAAGTCAACGCAAATGTTAAGTAGTAAAAGAAATGTAAGATCCCTGGTATACATTGTACTTTTAACAATGCTTATGATCAATATCAATAAAATAAAATAAAAGTTATAATATGTAACTTGATATTTGTTAACTTCGCTCGATTTTACTGTGTCCAACATTTGATATTAAATCTTGTGTGATATATGAGAGGGATAGCACACAAGATTGTATCAATGTCAATGAAAGCAATTATTTCTTAAGTTTTCAACCATATTTCTTGAAACTTCATTTCTAAATTTCATACATCAATTGTTCAAGACAGTTTTAAGGTCAATTTCATTCAGTCAAGGTGAAGGCTACAGCTTCACAACCTGTTCATGTACATGTGACAGAGAAATTGTCAGTGCATTCCTAACTAAGTATTCAAACCAAATTTTATAAACCTTGATCCATCATTCTCAACATTAAATCATGCACTACCTGTTTGCATATACACAAGCAACCTCAACTTTCAATAAGTCCTGTTGTCAACATTTGTTGCACAATGCTATCAGTTCTGAAACCAACAATCATGACAACTGTAATAACATAGTATGTGTTCTAGCTGGTACATTTGCAGTACTCTTTTGAAATGTATTTGAAATTAATATGTGCATCTTATTTCAAATGCTAGCCTATGAAGATGATAAAGCTGAACATATGCTATAAAGTTGTTGTTTTCTTTGTGAAGAATTTATGCAATGGAAATAGAGGGAAAATAATGTAACTCTCCTAATCTTGTGTGTGTGTGTGAGTATGTATGTTTATATTTTGTTTATCTTATTCAATATTGAAACATACAACAATGTATCATATTGAATTAGAGTGCTTTTTATATTATTTGTTCATGGGAACACAGATTCAAAATAGTTCCATTTTTCATAAGAAGAGACCTTTTCACTGCAGTGAATATGTAAAACACTTTATTTAAAAGTTTTTCAAAATTATTGAGAGACTTGTAAATTTATGGGTAGCAGTAATCCACTTGCTTATCCACAATTTAGTTTCGGCAAGTAAACATCCTTATAAATATTGTTCTGTAACAATATACACTGACTGATGCAAAATTGAAACTTGAACAAAATTCACACGTATTAAAAAGCATGCCAACCCTGGTCGATGTGCACACTTTACAAGATAACTTGCTTGAATATATATTGATCAATATACAAACTTAGACGATAAGTTCAAAGTTGAGTGAAATCCATGCCTAATTAATTAGCATACTGTACTCTGATTGGTCAATGGTTTTATGCCAAGTAACTTTGTTAGATAAGGCAAGGGTTGATATCTTATTCAACAACAAAGGCAAAGTTCAAAGATGTTCACAATCTGTGCATAATCTATTCAATGGTTTAAAATAATCAGGTATTGGTCAAAGGGGTAAATGCCAGTTTCAGTTTTTAATGTTCTATGAAATACATTGTATGGACAAAGGGAAGCAATTCCAAATTCCTATGCAAATTAATTATCCAAAGGTTTAAAATGATATATTCTAGAGGAAACTTGGTACCACTCTTCTGACAAACCTATAAAGATATACTGTACACACAAGAAGAATAACTTCACAGTGGTACACTTTTACATAAAACTTTGATTCATAACAAATTAACAGTAAATCCTTCTGTACAATATGATGGGAACTTCGTCTTTATTTTGTTCTCCATTCCAAAAATAATATATATATCTTTTGCCTTAGCTTTCAGTACTTTCAGTACTTTGATTATATCTACCAGTAAAGAGGACAAATCTTTTCATTAACATTTACTTCATGGACATCATTTGTTAACATCATTGGCATATATTAAAATAACCCCATGGCCTTGACGACTGTTGTCATGACGTCAAACAGAATCAAACTGCAATTCACAGAACTACAAATACCAGTGCTTGTCTTTGCCACCTCTTCAATTTTAATAAACGATTTCAAAATTCATATCTTCCATAAAATTAATACTACAGTAATTACTTGTGATATGGTGATGTAACAATGGACGCCGTGTTATTCGTACATCGGGTCGACTTTCAACATGGGCCACTCTCAAGTGACATTTCAATGAAATGTTACGGTAATCTGACACTCCACCCGCTCACATTATACTGACAACGGGCTAACCAGTCATTACCAACATCCATCTAAGCTGTCTCTGTCAGGGGACAGAACCCATAACCTTCCTCGCTTATTTGAACGCTCAACAACAAAGCCAAAAGGCGAGTTGAAATGAAGAGAGAAATATTATCAACGATAAGTAAGAATCTTATTCAACATATGTATTTTTTTATTTGATACAAATCATGTGTAAAGTTGTTGACAGATTGGATAAAGCTATTACCATAAGTTATGAATCCTAACATTGGAAGACGGAATGACTTTTATCATGATAAATATAAGAAATTATATGAATGTTTATAATAGTTTTTGGATTTTCATGGTATGCATGAATATATTGATAAGAACTTTATGGTTTAAATCGTGCGTATATTTACTTTGTTGTTTCTATATGTTTTAATCCATCTTGCTGCGTTATTTATATATATATTATTTATTTTCGCTAATCATGTCTCGTTGATTGATGCTATTTCACGGTCAGTATGGCATGTCATTAATTTGGCGTAACGTTAAACTTTGTGACGTCACACATGAATATGACTTCATGTCTTGCATATATATGTTTGTCAGAGAAATCTAATCACTGGTTTTATTTTGCAGTGTTGATTTTTAGATATAAAATACATGTATATAAATTGATAGTGAATTCTAATCAATCATTTGAATTTGTTCTTAAAAGATATTCTACGTTATTATATTTCAACTCTCAGCTCTGCTCTGCTACCTTAATGAGTCAATATTCATGAAAGTAAGCCTAGCTAAAAAATAAGCCATCATTTTGAAGAAATATATAATGTAATCGTTGCAGTCAGACATTCATAAATATATATTAAAATGTTCAGTTGAAAGATTTTGATACATAAAAAAACACAATTGAAAACCTTGTTTTATGATGGTAAAAAGAGATGTTACTCGGGAACTTTCCAGGTACGGTGAATGTATATAGAACCTGCAGTAATCCCAAAGTTGTCAGTTCCAAACAATTATCAAGCTAGATATAAATATCGTATCACGAATATAATGAAATTACCATGGCAAGAACTGTAGTGTTTTAGAGAAATCTGTTAAAAAGAAAACACCATAATTGCACTTAAAGGCATCCGAACTCCAACGGTTCTTAGTCATTCACTCTTTGAACATCCAGCTTAAGAATATTCCACAGTCCTCCCTTCTTTTTCAACTTCTGAAAAAAAGTAACAATAAATGTTTTGCACCAACTGCATTGAATATGAAAATAAAGTAAATAATGTATATAGATATATCCAGAATTATTGCTGAAATAGAAAAAAATACAAACTAAGTGTATGCTGAATTCAAAATCACGAAAAGAAAACAGGAACGCAGGAAACTCCAAAATAGAAGGAAAGACAACATAAGAAACAGATCTCGTGACAGTTAAGTACTTGGTTGTGCAGTACCTCCAAGGCCTTTATTCGCTTGTTGAAGTTTTCCGTGGTGTCCTTCAACTCTGGGTCTTTACTGACATCCTCCGTACAGAAGGAGACGTGTATGGACTTCAAGTGTTTACAGGAACCTGATCAGAATAAATATATAGGTCTGACTCAGATATGCGTACAATGTATTTGGCAAATACAAGTCTATACAATGGTATTCTTAAGTTACGATATATCTTCGATAAGCTAGTTAGATTTTTTGTGGCACTAAAGACAGGCGGAGGGTTACATGTATTCATGTAAGTAATGGCATGGTAATTTAATACAACAGTGCACGTGCTGGGCATAGTTTATACTAAAATTAGCTGTTGATGGAGAAGCATACTATATTAACTAAAGAGAAAGACACTTATAATGCTTACTGTAAAAGTGCAGCAAAGCCTTGTCTGTGACAGGAGTGTGATTGAAGTCCAGCGAGCGCAGGTTCTTGAGTCCCTTTCGACACATCGCTAGGGCGACATCCTCCTCAATATCCACACAGCCATGCAGGGATAGACAGTACAAACGCTGGCAAGATTGCGCTGTAACATGGAGAAAACCGCCATTGCATTAAAAAGATGACGTTTTGTGTGAAGTCATAAGTCCATGATGTTTATGCTCTATAAAGCTTTGATGATGCTATAGGGTTTATAATTTGGCCTTTTTGTGAAAATACACTCACTCATACTGTGTATATTTTCAGTGTTTGCCGTCGTGTTAAATTTGGTGAATAACTTTACCACAATAATTACAAAAGTAGCAGCTGCTGTGAAAATGACCCGAGAGTTTATAGTATATAGGTATGCCATTCATAGAATTGCTAAGACATTTATTGCTAAATGATCACCTTCGAGACCTTTATTGCACTTCTGATAGGAACACCGTTCAATTATTGGCTAAGACTGGTCAAATGATCTTTTGTGAAATTTTATTCCGTGTCAGAGAAAAACGCAAACCACAAATTTTCTTAGATAGGTTATATAATGGTCTATTACAACCGAACAAGGATATCATCTTTACATTTGCCAAGACAGGTAGCATGCGACATTCACTGCACTGCGACAGGAACGCTATCAATGCATCACTTAAACCATTCACATATTGATCCTATACCATTCATATGAAGCTTTATCGCAACACGGACTAACAACGTCCTCAATCCATGGACTGAGACCGGCTAGACCGGCAATGGAGATTTGAAACTTTGCGGATAAAAGCACGTCTTATTTTACGAACCCTGCTGTTTGTATATATAACTGGTTAATGCTATGTCAAATATGACGTTCACACAAAAACATTTGTTGCCGCAACTTCCCATCAGAGTAACAATGGCGTTATGATTCGACAGGTTTTGGAAGACAACAGAGAATGTGATAGCCACAGAGCTGATTTTAAAGCTAATTATTTCGCGATGATGACAACTGTGTTTGGAATCAGGCTAAAGGTACCATATGCTTTGGTGACCCCTTGTCCAGATTGTTGCCATTGGCTTCCTCAATGTCAACATTCCAGAATTCCAAGGTCTAACAATTATAATTTTCATTAATGAAGCCTTTTGACAGATCGTCGTTTCAATAAACGCTAAACATATTACTTGTCTCAGAATGTCTCTATAGACTTATATGTAGTAAATACAAACCTATATATAGGAGACTCGGCGTCTGACTTGATGCATTTGTAATTCATTCTGACCATACGAAAAGCTGAGGCGCAGGGGATCAATTTTAGTGTAACAGTATACTTATCAACAACCAAAACGCAGGATCATTCTAGAAATTTATGATAAAATTCAGTTGCAACATTCAAACTACCTACCTATCAGGACGAATCCGTTAACAGATCGTCGTTTCAATAAACGCTAAACATATTACTTGTCTCAGAATGTCTCTATAGACTTATATGTAGTAAATACAAACCTATATATAGGAGACTCGGCGTCTGACTTGATGCATTTGTAATTCATTCTGACCATACGTAAAGCTGAGGCGCAGGGGATCAATTTTAGTGTAACCGTATACTTATCAACAACCAAAACGCAGGATCATTCTAGAAATTTATGATAAAATTCAGTTGCAACATTCAAACTACCTACCTATCAGGACGAATCCGTTAACATCTTACTGCTGGCCTCCAATACACAGGCGATCCAACTCCGGTAAAAACTGGGAAATAATCTGTAGGCATTTATTAGTAAACTTTTCTGTGCTCACACTGAAAAATGGAACAAATGTAATTGAAGTAGTTCAACCGTCCGAACGATCTGATTTTCAGATCATTTATTTTTTATATCTATATAAAGAAATAAAAATGTTACAATATAAATATGAATACCGAGATGGTTTTTAGAAATATATTGATAAGTTGGGATTTTTACTCCTACCTTCCAAGACATTTTATCGTTAACTCTCAGACATTACAGGTTCTTGACTTTCTAATTTCCATTTACAGTAGTGAGTAAAGGCTAACAGCAATAGACCCTTAATTAGAACCTATATTACATAAGGAAGTTTTTTGACATTTAGCAATATGTTAACCGTTTTGAATCATGAACTGAGCGTTACCTATGACCCACTTGGCCATTAGATGGGTTATACATACAAATCATTTGATTACGAAGCCAAATTAAAATACTTCCTTTGTAGTTCTTACATCCTGCTAAGCCAACATCGAAATATATACAATGTATGTATATATATATATATTAGTGTCAAACTTGCATTGTGACAAAGTCGCATACATGTTGAAGCCAATTGTCTGTGATGTATGGTTATAATAATATACATTAGTAATTATTCTATGTTTCATGAATATGACCCGGTCAAGACATATATATCATAGTTTTTTTTTGCTTCATTATTTGACTAAATTAATAACGACCTCAGTATAAATACTCAAAACAAAAATCTTGGTGCTATACATAAAGTTGTCTTGAGAACTTATATTTACCAAGTTTTTGTTTATCACAACATCATGTAGGAAATCTCCTTATTTCCGTTTTCTGGTAGCAGTGGCGAAGCAGAGCTACATAATGACCATCATTGGTTTAATGGCAGTACATAGTCTCAAATACTTACCATGGGTACAGGGGAGCAATGTCTAAAGAGCGTATGAGTTCACACCCAGCTCCTAAAGCCCACAACACATCAGCACCCAAAATATGAGTGTTGCTATGGTAACAAACGTTTTGTAACATTCTGCTATAGCAACTGGCTAACCACATACATCTGCAAAAAATCAGATGTTTATAACCTTAAAAGTAATACCGAGAAGCCACCAAACCAAAACAATCAGCCCTACTCGAATAGTTTTACTGGTATATGACCTTTAAGCATATTCAATGTATAAATATGAAGTATGACAATGTTCAAAATATGTATGAAGATATTTGAATCCGAAGAACATCAATCACTACAACATAAGCAATACAGAAATCAAAATGATGTTCTAACGTAACAAAGACATTTACTGTTGCATGAACATCCTTACCTCTTATTTATGAAATATCACTATGTCATAGGTTTTTTTAATTTAAGATATCTGTTATCTCAGGAAAGCAAGCAATTTAAAATATAACAGTCACTACAAAACCTTTTATCGCACTGTCTGGTATACATAGTTTTCACTAAGTATATAAATACACTGTCCATGTGGCTATAACACGACATCCCTCACATCTATACTGTTCATGTGGCAATACAACACTACAATACATAATCTGTTGTGACTCTCACGCAAGCCCCTTTGAATATAATGACCAACATCTATTTTGGTTTTCACACAACCTCATATACATACAATGGCCGACATTTTGACCATATCACAATAATTCTAGATACATAATCTATTTTGAATTTTACACAACCCCCTATACATACGATGGCCGACATTTTGACCATATCACAACAATCCTAGATACATAATCTGTCGCTGTGACAATACTTTAACACAACACTTCCTTACAAACCCTGTTCTACAAACTGATCACAAGTATCATACTTAACATGAAAAAACAATTCATGATATGAGACAATGTAATTGCGTTTGATAGAAAATGCTAATTCGAGCTGGTTATAAGCTGAACGAGGGGTAATCCATTTCTCTGTATTCGTAATATACATATCTACCTACTCTTAAAAATTACCCCGACCTCGACATCAGTTACGAAATTTACACTCAACAAATTCGAAACCAATAGGAAGTTACTTTTTGTTAATGGACTTAACCTCAAAAATAACGCGGCAGCCAAAAGTTGTTAAACTCAATAAGAAAACTACTAAACTACGTTATATATTCTCATACTTACACTCTGACTTTGAATTTTGAGGTGGTATTTATAGAAAAATCTGAACTTCATAGCTTTTGGAGAAAATAACAACAGAACGCGTCATTCACGCAATCAGTACAATCTGCTACAGAGTATAGTGCAAGATAAATTGTGCTCAGATTCTTTACCTAACAGCTTGAGCGAAGTCTTCATCACTCTCAAGTTCCAACTGTTTCCTCGTATAAATATCTGCAACAAAACATGTATATTTGGTATTGATACAGCTGTGGTTGATTTTGTTAAGTACACATACTTAAATATATTAAATACTTATATATTGATATACTTAAACACAACTATATGCATATATTATAAAGATACGTACATACTAGTATATAAGTACATTCATATTTCACATTAAATATTTATGCCTATAAAACACAATAAAATAAAATACAAATAAACTTATATATTTGATCAAATATAAACATACTTATTTATTATAATATACTTATAAATAAATACATTTATATAAACATACTCGTATATAAATATACTTGTATATTAGGGTGGTCAAACCGGTCACATTTTGGTTACCGATTACTCGAACAATCTTTCGATCGAGTAACCGGGTTGATCGGTCAATTTGGTAATCAAATAATAAACAACAACAAACACAATATATGTGTAGAAAATGTTCTTTCTAAAACGTTTTTACACCACAAACAGATATGCATAGATAAATGTCGGTAGGTAGTGACGGGATTTAATTACAGGTATCTGTACTTGAAATCCTATGCGGTGATATTGCTCTTTAGAACAAAATTTGCTTAACACACGTTTTAAGACATGCTTGCTCATTCAAGTGTTTACACTTCAGATTATATTAACATATCTCGCATGTAAAAGCGCATTCTATCTCTTAAGTTTATATTTCACAACTATGTATTCTGGCTTCATTATAAAATCAGCACTAACATGTGATCCCTGAACACTGTTTTTATTACAAAACTATCCGATTTTGGTCGCATCTATAGAAAATTTGTGGGTTTAAGCCAGGGAAACAGAAAAAGTAAATGTCCGACTATTCGGTTATTGATTTTGGTAACCGGTTCGTGGTCGTCCGACCGAGTAGCCGGTTAACCGGCTTACCGTTGACATTATTATATATAGAGAAATACGTATAGAAGTACGTTTATGTTTCCCCACATTGCGACAATGTTCAAGTTACACATGTTAACATTTATCAGCTAAAGTAACATTGTTGAAAGTGAGTCA